ACAGCGTTAGCGTGAGACGGTGTGAGAAAATCAGGATTCAGTGGAGTTCTGGCGCTGCTCGTCTGGCTTCTTAGCCATGTGACTAAACGTCTAGAATAAGGTCTTGCCGAGGAAATAAATACACTAAGACACTGTTAAAGGCTTAAGTGTGGTTTGGTATAATAGGAGAATGCGTGCAGAAAACATCACGAAGCTGTGTTCCAGAATAAAGACTGTGTTAATAATGTTCTTAATTGTATTAGGGGAAAAAAAAAACACTGGATGTTAAAAATATACAATTGCAAGCAAAGCAGGCAAAGTAACTGCAGGGTGCCAACCAGTTGGCAAGGGATTGAAGTATATTAGAAGGAAATGTATTTTAGTGATGGAACATTTTCATAAATTTGCCAGCAAAGTTTTATTCACAGAGAAACCTATACAACAAACAAAGAGAAACACTCCTACAGGTGAACACCAGAAAACTGTAAATTTACAATATGAATCATCAATTGAAATCTTACTCATCATATTCCTACTCTGGTGATTAGTTTGTATCCGATTACACTCTGTTGGTTCCAATATACGGCACTATCAACACCTCAAACTGCTCCTCATCTGATCCAATCCCATCACGCTTTGTGTTGAAGGTGTTAGAGGATGTGACGCATCTACAGTACATAAGACAGTAAAGCACTTCTTCGATCTTCACTATCATGAGCTGCTACATCACTTCCCCAGGTCATACTGCCTGGTGTCACAGAGATCTTAACATTCATCATGTTCTCTCTGGAGCAAAGAAAACTAATGCATCCAGTGATACTGCTCATCTTGCTGGTTTCCTTATGTGGTAAATATCTACGGTATTGACGTTTTGTATTAGTTACAGCACATTATTCATCCAGTGAACATGTGTTAACATCTATGATCAATTTCCAGGTCTGAATTATGCAGATGAAGTACAAGAATGGAGGGATATCCAAACATCTGAGGAGACCCAGGAGACCAGGATCTACTGCAATTACTCTCTGACAAACAAAACAGACAACGAGTATCTGTACTGGTATCAGCAGAGACCAGGAGGGAATCCCAGATATATTCTACAGCGCTATAAAGCAGGAAGTGAAAATAAGACATCCAAATCCAAAGACTTTGACAGCAGGTTTACAGGACACTTGAATCTCACAGCAAAGTTCACTTACTTGTCAATCTCAAACACACAGCTGTCTGACTCCGCTCTCTACTACTGTGCTCTGAGGCCCACAGTGAGACTGATCAAGGAGCAACTGCTCACAAAACTCTCTTTCACACGTAGCTGTATCACACCAAGGCAGAGCCCCATGAGCCTAGTCTGCTGCTTCTTGACACATATCAAGTGTGGATGTTTCTTAAGAGGACAGTATTTACTGAGAGGGTCAATATTATATCAATTTTGAAAAATTACACTTGGCAAGTATAGTACTATTTTATTCTAACAGGGTAAGAAATTATTTTACTGATTATTTTACAGAAATTCAGTGCTCTTGCATGCAGTTATATTGTTTGACTTGTGCTCTGTGTGTAGCACTTTAGATTGTAAGCAACAGTTTATGAATGCATAACAAACATTAACAATTGCATAATTAACACTAATGTCCTTTAACACACATGTACTGTATACATCATGTGAAAATTCTTACAATTAATTATTCATAAATCTGTTGCTTCCAAGTTATTATTCTCTCAATCTACAGGATAGCAATAATTTCATTTAAAAGCTTGCTGCCCCCAACACACTAAACACCTTTCCCAACAAATGATCACAATAAAAGCAATAATTGGCATTGTTCCCTAGAGACTTGGACTACACAGCCACACATTGATAGATACTCTAGTACACTCATCATTCGTTAATCAAGCCCATAATGAGAGATACATATATACGTACTTATTTTTGTTTGAAGATTTAAAGTCTAAAGCTATCTTCAACCGTCTTAACTATCTTGACGGAAACTGCAAGGGTATGTTTGTACCCTTATTGGGATGCTGTATATCAATCCGATTTATCTTTTTCAGTAATGTAGAAATGTTTTAATTGTCGGGAAATTCAATTTAATTCACGTGTAAAGTATAACGTGTTAATAGTGTGGCTTCTAATCTTGTATTGAGGTGCATATTGAGATTGGATACCATGATTGTAGTGGAGTAAACCCCTTGGATTTTGTTCCAT